TCGCTTAATCGAATATACATGTACCCCTTTATGACCTGTTTCGAATCACAATAAGCCACGTGGTTTTGTGTCGTTACGGGTAAATGCCCAAAGTAAACGTGCTAGCTAGCGTTCAATTGAAACGTACTCAGCCTTGTATCGGTCAGCATATGGACTTGTTTGGTTAATGTTATTATAGTGGTTCATTCAAATTGCTAGAGTTTTGTGAATATAAATTGTAATTGTTGTTAATTGTGAGTCTTGAACATAAATTCGTCTTTGAAAGGAAAATATTATATATCACGGATTTTCTTTTTATAGTATCTAATCTAAATGTCTTCACCCCTTTACATGTACCAGGAAAACCGTAGTCTGATAGGGGGAAATGTTCCGGCATTTTTTTGCGCGATTGGTGTTAAAAATTGGCTTGTAGTTTCTATATGTTTAACTATTCATTATAAATGCACATTGATTTTAGTAGCAATACTTTGTTATACACAATGAATCATGGGGAATTTGTTTAATTGTCATCATTTTCAACACTGAAATTAGGAAGAGCTAAGTATAAAGCAAACTAAGATCAAATCGTAGAGTGACAACAAGTATGAGTAAAAAGCTTATTGATTGAACGAAGGATGTAGGTAAAATTCCTGGACAAACTAAATTTTAAATACAAAATGTGTCATTGATATTTATTTTTAGCATATTTGTAATCCTTAACTAAATTTGAATTATAAAATTAATGTAAAATTATTTTCAATTTTAAATATATATTTACATTGTACATTTATGGCTTCATTATTAGACTTGAGATGGTGACCCGGAGTACCTCGAAATTTTCGTTAAAAAGTTAATCACTTTATAAATTTCATTTTTACTCAGTAAAATTCCGCAAACATATGGCCGGCTTTAACATAATTATGTTGAAAAAAGGTGTAACGTCAAAATTTTAAAATTTGAACGATCAAAATTTCGAAATGGCTGAGAAATCGAGGATCGGTATGGTGAAAACAAGGGGACGTTTTCGGACAGAGTGGAGCAGAGGGCAGCATTAAATTCTGCCTAGACATCGGTAAAACACCAACTAAGACCCATAAATTTTGATGACAGTCTGGAAATGTTAGTAAAAGAAGCCGTTCTGTGGTATTTTTAAAAGTGACATGTAAGATTTTCGGGCGGAAGGAACAGTTTACAGAATTATATTCGTAAGGAAGACCATCATTCCGAGATTGCAGAGCTGAAAACAATGAATTTCGTAACGTGACTTTGCCGTGTATATTTCCGTAAATTAAGTCGTTTTAAGGACGGATGATACAAACAAATTTTATTATAATATTATGTCACAAGTTTAGAAAAGTGGATTTTTTTTCTCCTAAGAACTGGAAAATGACATAGACTTGGAAAATTTTAATCATATTTCAATATAATTTGAAACATGGACAGATCACACTCAGTAAAGGTTTACAGATGGGAAAAAATTCAGAATATGTTATCTTGATGCTAATATAGTAATATAAACTTTAGAAATGTATACCAAGCCAGTTGAATTTTATTTGGAAAGACAAGACGGTAAAAATCAGCCCATGTATTAATGCTGATTTTTTGTCACTTCGTTTTTTCTCATAAAATTCACCTGGCTTTGTATATTTTTATAAAGTTTATATCACACATTTAGCATCAAATAACCTCTTCCGAAATTTATTTTCAATTGTAGACCTTTCCTGAGTGTGGTTTGACTAAGTTTGTTATTTTATTGAAATACATGTATTAGTAATATTTTTCAAATCTATTTCCTTTTCCAGTTCTTAGGAGAAAAAAGTCTAAGCATTATCCACTTATCTAAACTTGTGACATGATATTAAGTCTCCTCAAAAGAAAAAAAAATATTTGTATCATTCGTCCTTAACGCTGACAGAGTTTTGATAATTTGCAGGATCAGAGACAGGAAGTGTTCAATATTATTTTACACATGAAACCTGAACAGTTAGTAAACATTTTTGATGACTGGTTAAAGCGGTATAAGAGATGTATTGAGTTGAATTGTGACTATGTTGGTAAAAGTTATATGTATTTATGGCTTTTGACATCAGATATCTTCAAGGATTTTCGTTTTAGTGCTCCGGGTATAAGTGTGTGTGTTTGTTGCATATTAATAAAATGAAACGTGAATTTTATGAAAAAAACAGTGTCATATATTTTGTCAATGTTTGTTTTTAATTGTCAAAGTTGTCCACGAACTTTACGGACAATCCTCGTGTCTTGTTTAACGTCTCTGTCGAGATTGTTTCAATCTTACTGAGACGCCACAACTTGTTGCTGAAGTTCTAGGAATATTGACCTATACTCGGCACTCAGGGTCATTGAACTGTGAGGGATCTTTTTCGTTCCATGTCCCACGGTGGGATTCGGACCCGCGAAGTAAGGATCAACTCCTTATTCTTCGTCTCTGACGAAGGCGCTTTTACCACTGCACCACGCGAGCATTATGATTAAAAGACATTGATATCGTGAGACAGAAAATAGTTGCCAAGAATTTGATACGGCTACCATATGCAATTACACCTACAAATGTCAAGCAAGACCTAATGTTACTAAAACACATTCACAGAAATAGATTGATAATCAAAAATATGAAATCTATATTCCCTCATAACATATAATCATAACAGAATTTTAAATGGGAGCTGTGGCAAGCATGATCTTAAAATTTCTCCAAACTCCCTACGATGAAAGTCTTTGATACGTTCAACTCAGATCCACAAAAGAGTGGTTTCAACATGCCATGGTTACTATTTCAACATATCCTTATGTCTAACAGATTGATAGTGTTCAATATATTCCGAATTCCCTTGTCAAAATCCGCAGCAAAGCAAAGCTGTGAATCACTTTCATTTACGATAACTTAAATTAGTGTCACTACGCGAGTCTGTCTGCTTGCGATTATTTTATTCTCGCATATATTTGTATTCTTATGGATTATATATATATTATATATATATATATATATATATATATATATATATATATATATATATATATATATATATATATATATATATATATATATATATATATATAACCCATAACTCGTGAAAAGTAGTACTCGTTAATAAATTCCAAGTTAACATCTTGCGAAACAAAGATGTCAGAAAATTTAATGATCTACAATTTTGTTTGCTTCCGCCCATGATTTTTATGGTAAATGTAATTCAAACAATGATAATTGAAGATAACCAACAATCGATGCTCAAAAATCCATTAGAAAATAACCTACTAATTCAGCCAATCAAATGCTTCTATTTCTCTCGAAGAATTGATTCTTCATGGTGAAGAATTCATCTATTTCTGAAAAATTCAACGCTGTCTGATTGGTTCACTTGAGAGTTATATGGGTGTGTCTTCATTGATCTTTGTTCAGCACACAAAAGGAAATTATTCAAAACCCACGTGCTGTTTACAATCATGAAATTTAAACTTTCTAAGCCTAGCTACATTTTATCCCCACTCATGACTGTAATCTTTTGTCGCCTTTTTGAATATTATTTTTTTCACATTTCGGTACATACAGAAAATAGAACCATTGTCATGTATATCAGAGACGAACCTTGTCTTTCAAGACAGATTTGAGGATAAATAACACAAGCTTTTTTCAGAAATCAGCATTATCAGCCCCCCTCCCCCACTTTTCTAGCAAATATATACATCATATACATCATATGGGCATTGAAAATTAGGAATTTTACCTTTGTTTGTTGGTTTAGCCCCCCCCCCCCCCCCCTTCAATTTGCTTCCGGGCCTATGGTATTCATTAGTTCAGTAAATTTTATATCTCCACTATACCATTTCCCCAGTAAAGGTATTTTATATAATCCTGTGCTAACCTGAATGGAATGGGAGTCCATTCTGAAACCGCGTGTGTTCGATATTGATTGCGTGCTCGATATGAACAACGAACGGTCAAGTTGAGCCTTATATATGACACAGCCGTGGGAGGAGTTTATTTTTAATCCATGCATTTGATTGACCGAGGTTCTGTTCTAAGTCAGTGAGATCATATGAAGAGAAATCTTCGTCACGAAGAATGGGCTCCGCTTCGCTCCGGCCATTCTTCATGACGAAGATTTCTCTTCATATGATCTTACTATTACATAAACCATACTTGTTATGATCAGAGAAAACGCTGAAAAAAGAGGTGGAAAGCAGCCACGGACGAGTAAAAATCTATTGTCGATAGCTCACGCTTTATTTGTACTTTTTTTATGATCTGCACAATGGAATTAAATTTAGCTACCAGATAATTCAGTGTGAACATTATATGAGAGATGTATACATAATGTACCCAGTTCTTAATCTTAAATTCAAGGTTTTTTTTATCTCTACTGTATAGTCGTTGTTTGCAGCAAATCAATTTGACAACAATAACTCAATGGGGCATCATAGACAAATACTTTCTGACCGATGATGACTTCATGGTCGTTTCAGGTAAATGATTATAGTCAAATTTGCAGACAACTGCTTGTAATGAGAGTTTCATCAGGTATATTGTAATATAATAAAGCATTTTTGTGTTTTCAGATGACTTTATCGATCACTTGACGGACACTTTGTGAATTCGTAAATGTTGTAAGGAAGTCTACCCATGAAACCGGAAAGTGCATATTAAGTCATTACAACATTTTTCTGATTTATATGAATTGTATCTACATGGATATCAATGGAAAGAAATGGATATAACGATAATCTTACAAAAAATGTAGATTAACACACCAGATGTACATATAACAAAGGGAAGATAAATAGCAGTAATAGATCTCATAAAAATATATACGTAAAATACAAATCTGATCAGAGTTTAAAACAATTACTAATTATAAATAAACGTCTAAATATTATTTAATGCATTGTTAATTAAAATGAAGCAGTTTCAGTTATTTTTTCAGAATTCACATGGCAAGAAAAATGCTATTAATGAACAATTTTCTTTATTATATAATATATTTCACTTTAAGCTAAATCTTTATACAACTATTTAAAAGAAATACAATTCAACTATAAATTTTCAAGTTGTATATTTGATCGTGTACATGTTCCCTCCTTCAAAGAGTATTTTTGATAAATTGTCAAAACACACAATAAAATCAGGGAAATTATAACGATAAAAACCAAAGAATAAATGATGTTGCGTATTATTGAATTTCCAATATATATTTCCTCTTCTACAATTAGCGATGTCCATGTTGTAACGGTTGAACTAACTTTCTGTGTCATACATGTAGAATGTGAAATCTCTTTCAAATTTCCAAACGTGTCGATCTTCTCTGCTATATTTAATAAAATACATTTGAATTTTTTTAATTGTTGAACAGAGACCCTATCTAGCGTCGAAAACGATTCTTCTGTATATTATTGATTTGAAAATGAGTTTTGTTTCATAGATGATTTTTTTCAGTTTCCTTAAAAAACATGAAAAAAGCAAATGATCAATAATAAAATTTATGATGTCTTTTTGAAGACTGGTTTATTTTTTATAGAGAATTAAGTACTTCTTCAGAACTAGGAATATCACTAAAAAATTGAATAATGAAAAGAAAAACAAATATCCACTATTAGTATATTGGCAATATTTAACTACCTCGTTGTTCAGTAGCCTTGCTTATTGAAATATGTCCTTGGCGGACACTAGTTTGAGACGTAGACAATAAAATAAAAAAAAGGTTTGAAGTATCACGCGCGGTTCCTTTAGAGTCATAGACATACAACCGTGTCTAAAGGAATATTAATTACCGGGAAATATAGAAAAGGCTATATTTTGAAGCTAGGAAATTTATTTTATATTCCTTGCGTCTTGCGTCTTTCCAAGACTTATAGTTGTATCTGGCTTTTTATTTAAACGACTTGCCAGTTTACTTTTAGTTATGTACCTGTTAGGAACCATGCACGTTTTAAAATCCTTATCATATATACAGATACGTACAGAGTGTATTTGTCATGGCACTGGGTTTTTCAATGTTTCTAAAACAGCTGAATATACCTACGAATTTAGTGTCTAATTAAAGCCTACTTGTTTGTGGACATCCCTTTGCAAAGTGACAAGAAGTGTTATCACACAAACAGCTTCGTTGACAGTTGTTACCAAAACTGGGATACACACATTTATCCGTACAATTGAAACCAAAATAGCCAGTTGAACAATCTAAGGGAAAAATGTCATTAAATGTACATTTAGATTAATAACAGATTCACACAATAAAAATCGAAAGTTTCGATCGTAGCATTTTGATTTCATGAAAATGTAAAACAATATCAAAATGAACTTATTATTAAATTAATAAATACTTTCTTATGAACGTTATTTGAATATGACCATCGTTGATTTTCATTTAGCATAAAAAAAGAAGAAGAAAACTTTGTCTTTATTGATATATATAAGTGAAATCATCAAAATTAATTCTGATTTATTACGCAGAATTCTGGATTTTCCATAGCATTGTACTTTCAGCAATTAATCAGTGTAGGGATTTAGTATTCTCATTTATTCAACAAAACCAACTAGTAAATAAAATAACTCTGTGACATCTCTTTTAAGAAGTATCATTCAAATATGATGGTGGTGTATTTTTACTTGTTACTTAAATTTTTAATTATTACTTAAATAATTTCAACCATAGAATTGGCAAGATATGACAATGATGTTACTTACTTTCGCATCTATTCAGTGCACTATTAAAAATGGTACCTGCACAACAACCACGACTTCCATCTATCCTTAATTTTCAGAGAATTGCATAAATTTAATGTAGTAAATATCTTATTGATCAATAAAAATATTATTCGTTCATTTAATCAACCCATACCATGTACACATCCCATCTCGACCTGTTGTAAATTCCTTGATGCCAAACAAGAGCAAAATAATTATCATTTTCATTGGGTGATTTCTAAAGTAATCTAGTCAAATTAAACTATGTTTTTCTAAATATCACAAAAAATGTGAGGAAACTAAATAAGAACCAAACAAACAACGACAAACATAACGAATCGTTTCCTGTTCTACAAATAGCATGCCAATAGTATTTTTTTTAAATACAGTTTTCATGATAAACTACACTTATGTCCCGGTAACAAAACAAAAAATAGAATAATATAATTTCCTCATTGGATATATAGAAGACATTCTCGTGATTCTAGTCGTAATTAAGCTTTTGATACAGAAATCATCCTACAGTACGTGTACATGAATTTGTCCATTTCACAACCAATGTGAACAGTATCAGGAATAAGTTTTGAATTTATAAAATAGATTATTAAAAGAGTACATTTATTTAAAATAAACATTTGGAAATATCGCGAATTGTAACGTTTTCATTGTGTTAACAACGCATTTGTACAAATGGGTGTCAACCCTGATGTTTAGAAATGATTAGCCGAAAGCCAAAGCATATTATTTGGGCATCGATCAGTGTCACACAATACTGAACATGCTGGTCAACAATGACAATAGTTTTAGTCTATGTACTACAGAAAATGCAAAAAATTCATTTCAGGATATATTAATAATAGATAAACTATATATACATGTACTAGATAATACATGTACTAGATAATATCATTTGAAAGTTTAGTTTTTGTGATTTACAGATGTACACTCTAATATGATGTTTATATAATATAACACTTACACTAAGAAATCAGTGCATGTAAAGTTTTTTTTTCTTTTACATTAAGAATCTGTCAAGTAAGTATAAAATAATCATGACTAAAATAATAAGAGCCAGGGTCAAACAATACTAACGTGCTGGTCAACAATGACACTAGTTTTAGTCTATGTACTACAGAAAATGCATAGATTCATTTCGGGATATATAATACTAGATATATGTACTGTGGACGTACTTTTTTCCAGGGTGTCATAATTCTGCGGAATCTCAATTTCTGTTTAATCCGCGGGTAGAAAATTACGCAGATTTCTTCAGCTGTCACTATATGCCTTACACATATATAAAGTACGCTTGGACAAATTTCCGCGGAAAATTTGTAACCGTGTACATACATGTAGTGTAAATAAATACCACGCGGAAAAAGGTACTTCTACAGTACTAGATGATACATGTACTAGATAATATAATTTGAAAGTTTAGTTCTCGTGATTTACAAATGTACACTCTAATATAATATTTATATAATAAAACACTAAGAAATTAGTGCATGTAATTTTTTTATCTTTTACATAAAGAATCTAGCAAGTAAATAACCAATATAAAATTAGCATGACTAAAACAATAAGAGCCAGTAAAATTTAACAAAGAATGTTTTGAAACCGCCATTACTTAGGACAAACTCATCCAGGATATTGTATTATAGCTTGTCTAAGGACGATTTATAACCAACATAGAATAATGAACGTGGTCATTTTTCGACGTCGAAAAATGACCCTTTTTGCCAAAAGAAAAAAGTGCTATCACCCTAGAAAAGGGAAAGGCCCCCTGTAGAATTATAATCATTTGTGAATTAAAGAGGCTCAAATTTTTTAATTTTAGAGTGCAAAATAAAAATAATCAATCAAGATGACCTGTTGGCCAAATGCACACTTGAGCTTAATTGGGAATAAATCATTACATTGTACAATTCTTGATGTTTTTAAGGTCAATGCAATGATTAAGAATCCAGAGGGGACAAATATCTAAATTTATCAACCCCAAATGGCAAGGAGAATCTTGTTTTGGATTGTGCCAAACCACTGAAATCTTGTTAAAAGTCAAACATTCTTAAACAGAACTTCAAAAATATTCAGACAATATCATGGTGTATTTATCATGTTCATATATCCATGTATATTTTGTATTTTCCAGATTTCTGGAGAATGTTTGAGGGAAAAATTATCGTTTTTTCGGAGCCCCCCCCCTCCTTTAGACACATGCAAACTCTTTAATACAGGCTTTCATCAAGCTGTATTTGGATTGCTGTGTATCTTATTATTTTCGAGGCTTGATGCTGAAGACTAATGCCTGTGAAAACTCGTTCCGTCTTTTTAAAGCTATAACTAGTCGCTGAATGAAGTTTTTGATTCAAGGTAAGTTATCTATTTTCTGCAAGTTCTTCCTACTTTTTAAAATGCATGTGCAATAGCATCAGTGTTTAGCTTGTATATAAAAATATAGATATATATATATAAGAGAGAAATTCGGATCCGTCGATGAATATATAGATACGATATATGCAGATTTAAAAGCGAGATTTGCAAATGAATGGCATATTCTAATTCAATTAAGGCAAACTATTCTACGGACAAGTTGGCTTAGGAGCAAACTCTCTATAGATTTCTCGTGCAAGCGTAACCTGAGGTTTGCCCAATGGCATTTGGTTTAACCTCACTTATATTTTTTTTCTGCGTGGACATCCGCAGGGGTAATAAGGAAGCATACAAAATATTCTACCTTGACCAAATCAGTGCTACGTTATGACGTCATAGCAGGCAAGATGATGTCAGTTTTAGAATAATAAGTTTTTGTAATACCGGGGTTTAGAGATGTAATTTAAATCTAGAAAATGAATAGAAACGTGCAAACATAAACACAAATAAAATGCATTTATTTTGTGATGCTGAGTCAGTCATTTTGATGAAAATCTACCACCGATGACGTCATATGTGTATATCAAGTACCTTGAGAATATTGATCATGTCGTGTCAAGAGAATTTGGCTAAGACAGCAGGTACAAAGATACGTAAAATGGAGTTTAAAAGGAAATATTATGAAAATTGTGTGAAATTCATATACAGTTCCGTTAATTAAACAGTCAGCTATATCCGTATCCCGGTTGACCTTTCCTCTTTCATTCGAGACATAAATTATGCAACAGAACAACAATAAGCATGGTTTTCTCGGTTCAATATCATAGCCTCTCACATTGGTCTTTCTTGTTTAATGAAAATTATTATACCTTATTATAAATATTCTACACAACGCGTTATCTCATTCGTTCTAGATTATCACGTGATCGGGCCGTAAAACCTCATTTCATTAAACATTATTTTTGTCTCGTTTATTATAAAACTTCAGATAAAGTAACCCTTTTATTTCATCAAAGGTGCATGAAGTTAATATTTTCTGTATAATATTATACATTTATTGCATGATAGTGAGGGAAATATGAAGACTTATTCAGCCAAGAAAAATCATATTCCTCGAGAGCTTCGCCCAAGGGGAATATGATATTTCTTGGCTGAATATTTGAACCTTTGAAACAAACATAAACTTTCAAATTCGGCATCTCTCTCAAATTCATTTCCATTTTTTACGTAAAGTTACTATAAAACCCGTTGTTTAACACATTATCTTCAGTTTTGTGACGTAAACCAGGCTATTGTGACGTCTACTTCTCTCGGGAGTTTTCGTTCAACAAACGAGAACTATTTGCGGGAAAATACACCAAGTGTTCCGAAGAGGTGGAATACGATGAGAAGCGTGCCGATGGCCGGGAAATATGAAGGTTTACGGCCCGATCACGTGATAACTTAGACCAATCAGATAACGCGTTGTTTAGAATATTGATAATGAGGTATAATAATATGACTTATATGTTTTAATAGGATTATACACAAAGATATATTAAAAATTTTATTTCATGTAAAAGTAATTAAAACTTAAAATTTTTAAACGGGTTTGATTAACACATTCTTGCACTTTCACCAATCTTAATTTTATTCTTAAAGGCAGAGATTTTTTACCGGGTGGTAAATTCCAGGTGAGGGAGGGGCTTATTTTGTACAGGTGTGAATGCCTTGGGGGCTAGCAGTCTACCTGTGGCCATCTGTCTCCTAATCCCTATACACAGGAAGTGGTTTAATACACAGTGAAATACCCAGATGTCAAATTTTACCTGTGTTGGAGATTTTGAGACAATTTTAAAATTAGGCCATAATGAAAATATTCCTAGATTCTCATCCCCGTCCGCCCCGATTTTATACCCCCGCCTCGATTTTTTTATTTCTGTTTTTCTTCGTATTAATTCTGATCGAGATCGGTATTCATCTACCATTCTACTTTCGTTTTAAATCCCGCGAAAGTCGACATGATTTTGACAGCTGAAAAGATAGAAATTGCTGTAATACATGCGTATATATTTTAAACAAGGGTCATGGGTTGAAAAAGATTGGTGATGATGTGAAGTAAGAGATAATTGAACATTTACTATGACTTTATTTGGGTATTGTAGATGAAATTACACCTATTGATCAGGTCAATAAGAGGTCTGCAAAATTGAAAAAAATATAAAATATGAAATAAAAGCCTCCCGCCCGCCTCGATTTTTAAAAAAAATTGGATGAGAATCTAGCAATTTATTTATTATGGCCCTAGTTGTAAAAAGTTTTTTTTTTCAATTTTACTTTGATTTCTTTTTTACATTTTGAAAATACCCCTACCCATTTAAAAAATTATTATTTTATCATACTATAAATTCAAATATTAAAATAAAGATAGTTTTAGATGTTAGTGTATGTGTTGATTAAAAAAAAAAACTCCAGTAACAACCAGATTAGACTTTTAAAATTCATTCCTCCCAGGATCCCATCTATTAATAAAAGGAAAAGAGGGTTGGGTTAACTACATTTCACTAAGAAAAAATATCTAGGTTTATCTTAACCTCAATAAGATTTTGTCACCATCAAACATGCTAAAAAGATTGCTTGTAAATTCTTAACTGAATAAAAAAGGAAAATAAGTGACCCATGATTGGAAACATTATTTTTTAAATTTAATTACTTCACGCAGTGCTGCTCTGAACTTTGTCAATAACATCTCCACTTTAGACTTACCATTTAGCATATTAAAATTAATATCGAAATTTCATTTGAAAAAAAAAGTTTTATGTGCTTAAGTTTATTTTTTTAATGCATATTATATTATAATAATTTCAAATACTAAAGGTATATTTAATTCATATATTATTCATATATTATCAATATAAGATTT